CACTCCCTTCTTGATTTTAAATCCTTGTTCTGTTTGAACAACAGCCTCCTCGTCTATGTACAGGTTCCTCATGAGTACAATTAAGTGTTCTGGAATTCTCATTCTTCTCAGTGTTATCCACAGTTTGTTATGATCCACACGATCAAATGCTTTTGCATAGTCAATAAAACACAGGTAAACATCTTTCTGGTATTCTTTGCTTTGAGCCAAGATCCATCTGGCTCAAATGATATCCCTTGTTCCACATCCTCTTCTGAACCCAGGTTGCAGTTCTGGAAGTTCTCTGTCAATATACTGCTGCAACCATTTTTGAATTATCTTTAGTAAGATTTTACTTGCGTGAGATATTAATGATATTGTTTGATAATTTTCACATTCTGTGAGATCACCTTTCTTTGCAACAGGTACAAATATGGATCTCCTTCAGTCAGTTGGCTACCTGGCCAACTGACTCCAAATCTCTTGGCATAGCTGAGTGAGTGCTTCTAGCAGGGCATCCGTTTGTTGAAATATCTCAATGGGTATTCCGTCAATTCCTGGACAGTTATTCTTTGCCAATTCTTTCAGTGCAGCTTTGACTTCTTCCTTCAGTACCACTGGTTCTTGATCATATGCCACTTCCTGAAATGGATGAACATTGACCAGTTCTTTTTGGTACAGTGACTCTGTGTAATCCTTCCATCTTCTTTTGATGCTTCCTGCATCATTCAGTATTTTGCCCGTAGAATCTTTCAGTATTGCAACTCGAGGCTTAAATTTTTTCCTCAGTTTTTCAGCCTGAGAAATGCCGAGTGTGTTCTTCCCTTTGGTTTTCTAACTCTAGGTCTCTGCACATTTCATTATAGAATTGGCTTTGTCTGCTCAAGCTGCTCTTTGAAATCTTCTGTTTAGCACTTTTATCTTGTCATTTCTTCCATTTGTTTTAGCTACTTTCCACTCAAGGGCAAATTTCAGAGTCTCTTCCTTATTAGGCCATTTTGGTTTTCTTTTCTCACCTTTTTAATGACCTCTTGCTTTCTTCATGGATAATGTCCTTGACATCATCCCACAATTCTTCTGGCTTTTGGTCATTGGTGTTCAATGCACCCAATCTATTCTCCAACCTTAGGATTACTGAAAACACCGTGCGCACTTGCTTTGATTCGAAATAAGTAGGAAACACAAAGTCTTTCCCAATCCAGGTCTGCCATCTACCCATGCCTTTTAATTGCCATTCAATAGGCCAAGTTTTCACATGTCTGTATATTTCAAAGGGGTCCCTGGCAGTACAAACGGTCACTGTGCTCTACTGCTAACTGAGAGGCTGGAGGTTCAAGTCCACCCAGGGGCCCCTCAGAAGAAAGGCCTGGAGATCTACTTTTGAAAACGCGGCTGCTGAAAACCCTTAAGAGCACAGTTCTACTCCGACCCCCATGCGGTCACCATGAAGCAGAATCAATGGCACCTGGTGGTGGACACGCTTCAGTGGAGTCTGCTGTTTATCCATCGTTACACAGTAATGCACTGCCATGGGACATGGTGTCACCCACTGCACGGACTCCTCATGCCAGTCATCCTAAATCTAAATTCCACGTGGGCCTAAGAGTTGCAGTTGCAGACAGCCCTCATGAATGTATATGTTTCTGCATGTCAGAAAACACGTGGCACACATGTTGTTGCTCTAAGAAAAACCCACCTAGCTTCTAAGTACCTCATTCTGACTCAAAGTAAATGCAGTAGCCTGGAAAGCTTATTGGTAGGGTGGCAGGCCGGTGGGCCCAGTGTGCTGGCTGTACTTCCTTATCAGTCACTGGGAAAAGGATGCTGGGTAGCTGGAAGGGGAAAGAAAAATCCTCTGTTACAAGCCTGGTGACCAGGCAGTAACATGATCTAAGAGTGAAAGCATTGTGGAAAAGAAGGCGGTGTCACACCGTGTGTCACGTGTAACACCTACACACCATAGACACACCCTATTTTTTCTTCAAAACATCTAAGTTCCCAGACAGGCTACACTGAGAACACTGTCTCTGTGGCTAAGTTGTATAACCAGTCTTCAGATGTCTACTTATTATTACTTAGTCAAGAGTATCTAAGAGGAAAAGAGTCCAGTATTAGAGAAGATGTACTCAACCACCCAAAACTACACAGTGATTTATGTTCTGAAACAAGACCATGGACAAACACCTTCTCAGAAGCAGAGTATGGCAGCCATTACTGCAGAAAGGAAGTAAGGGTTGTACTCACTATGGCATCTTTCACGATTTGTCTGGCCACCTGCTCCGGTCTGCAGACAGATGTGGTCTCTGAGATAAGTCGAGTCTCCAAAGGCTGCAGTGAAAACAATGCACGTATCGAGAGCATTACTATCCGTTAAATAAAATCCCCATCATCCTTGCAGATCCCGTTTACCGAGAAGTACAATTTTCTACCATTGGGCACATTCCTAGGTTTAGTGTAAGGGGCATCTGGATTCAAACTGGTATCTATCTACCTGGTTGTTGTTATGTGCCGTCGAGTGGGACCTGACTCATAGCAACCCCTCCTTGGGTTGCCAAGCAGTATCTCTACGGAAGTAGGTTGCCCAACCTTCCGAGGAGTGGCTGGTGGATTTGAACCGCCAGTCTTCTGGTTAGCAGTCAAGTGCCTTAGGCACTATGCTACCAGAGCTCCTATCTACCTGGTTAGTGAATGTAAAATTCTATCCAGTGAGACAAAGAGATTCTTGCCACCCTGTGGGACATGCGGGCCTCAGTTCCAATGAGGACCACCCCAACAAGAACTCTGTAGATGAGTGCTTCAGAATTCTTTATGAGGGAGTTTGGGTTAGAGATTTCAAAACTAACAAGACCATCCCAACTGGTTATGAGTCAACATTCCCCCTCTTAGAATCCTCCCTGCTGGCCAGACTACTGATCCGATGAGCTTGTGCAGAGCCTAGACCATGTGTCCTGGCAACACATGTGTCCTTGACTACCACAGCCACTCTGACCACCTCGCTGGGCAAGAGTGTCCGTGCCTGTGGACAGAGCTGAAGGCTCTGAGCTAAAAACCCAACCAGCCCTGTGTAACATCAGCTAAGGTTCTTAAGGGTCCTGCAGAGAGGCAGGGAGACAGGAGATGGAGATAAGAGGAGCTGCTTATGAGGAAGAATTCCGTGGTCCTGTGCTTGGCTGTGTGGGCGTCCTAGGGTGGCATACATGGTTCGCACACTTAGCTACTAACTGAAGTGTGGGCGTCCTGGGGTGGTGCACATGGTTCGCACACTTAGCTACTAACTGAAGTGTAGGCGTCCTGGGGTGGTGCACATGGTTTGCACACTTAGCTACTAACTGAAAGGCTGGGGGTTTGAGTCCTCCCAGAGCTACCTCGTAAGAAAGGGCTGGAGACCTGCTTCCATGAGCCACTGAAAACCTTCTGGAGCATGGCTCGGCTCCCACACGCATGGGGTCACCATGAGTCGGAATCAACTCAACGGCGATCGCTGTTCTCTTTTGTTTCTCTTAGCTTGAGTATACGAGCTCTGGTGGCATAGTGCCTAAGGCATATGACTGCTAACCAGAAGGCTGGTGGTTCAAACCCACCAGCCACTCCTCGGAAGGCTGGGAGATCTACTTCCGTAGTGATACCACCTCAGAAACCCAAGGAGGGGTCGCTGTAGGTTGGATCCGACTTGACGGCCGTGAGTTGAGTGAGAGCTTGAGTATGTCTCAGTTATTGGACTAAGGTTCAGATCCCTAATCTTGGCCTTTAGACCTTCAAAAGATGGCTAAAGGTCCTATCAATCGTCACCAGCTTAAAAAGCCTTTCCTGAGCTCTTAGTGGCTGTGCCCTCAATCTCAACCATCTCCCCCTGAGCTGGAGTGCTTATGCCTTATCGTATAGCTATTGTGCATTTGGGTTTGAGTGTTAGCATCCTTGGGGGCTGTGTCTTTTTTCATTTATCTCTGTGGTCTGGGCTTTCTTCTTGGGGGAACGTTGCACACAAGTGCTTCAAAATCTTTATGAGGGAGTCTGGCTTAGAGATTTCAAAACTAAAGCCTTAAATTGCATGAGATTGTAAATTTTATTTAATATGTTGGCTTGAGTGTGCTGGATCCAAACCACTAGTTCACCAGGGAGCGTCAACACATCAGCTTGAAAAGTGAACCAAATAAAAACCAAAACACACATTTCCTTAAAACAGAAAAGCAGAGCACCTCATACACGGCAAGCGTTTCCTGGCCCTGGACGATGGCCCCTCCACCTTCTGAGGTGCCACACGCAATCTTCCAGGCCACCAGAGGCTGCCATTTTATTACCCGTGTGAGAGACATACTAGATTTCAAAGCATTATAGCGCCCCCTAAAGGAGCTACAGACTGACATGGAATTTTGCTCACCCACAGAAGCATGTCTAATATTTTATTGGAAGAAAAGAAACCCCAACTTCATCAACATCTAAATCAAATGTTAACAGGGAAATCACCACCCTCTGTCTACTGTTCCTGCTTTGGTCTAAAACACTGCTTACCAAACGCTTTGCTGATCTCTGCTCACTCCAAGACAGGACACTGGCTTACCTTTACTTTGGTGAAATAGTAGGAATTTAAAAAGAGGAAGAGTCAAAGAGAAAAGAAGAGGGGGGGAAAAGATTCTAAATCGTAAACATCTTTTTACAAACACACAATCGATAGCACGTAGATGTCATTTGTATGCAGAGCAGAGTCGATCTCACCAAGTGTTACTATAAAAGAGAAGAAAACGAGAATCATCTTCAGTTCAGCGTGTGAGAGTGACTGACTGGGTCCTTTCGTCTCCACCTTATCAGTTCATTCGAAGAATGACTACTCGGTGACCAGGACTGTCCTAGACCAAGAGGACACTCCCGTGAACAGCTTGACGCATGCACTGTGCTCAGGAGGTGCGGCAGTCACTGTGTGTGTCTGCGTTCCAGTGCCGTGGAAGAAAGGCCTGGTGATCTGATTCCCTAACGATGACAGCCAAGAAAACCCTGTGGAGCAGTTCTGCTCTGCAACACATGGGCTTGCCATGAGGCAGAGTGGGCGCAATGGCAACCGATTTGGCTTATTTCCGTTTGGTTGGGCTGTGTGCTATGGAGGAAAATAAAGCCAGGTAAGAGTGATGAGTGACCCAGGGAAAGATATTTTAGATACAGAGGCTCAGAGAGGTCCTCTCCAAGGTGACAGCTGAGCAGAGACTGAATGAAGTAAAGGAAATAAGCTATCCAAGCATCCAAAGAAAGGAACCAGGAAGCTCAAAGCCCTTGGGTGAGAAGCAGCCTGGCAGTGTAGCAAACAGAGAACGGCCCAGTGTGGCTGCACCCAGGGCGAGGTGGCAAAGGTCCAGACGGGGTGGGGCTTACAAACCTCAAATTTTATTCCAGGAAAAATGGAGCCACCAGAGCTGCACCCTCCAATCCATAGCCACCTGTGACATATGCTATCCTAAATTAGTTAAAATTAAACCACAAAGTCAGTTTCTCAGTCTCACCAGGCACACTTCAAAGGCTTAACCGCCACAGCGCCACCACCATATTGGAGAGGGCAGACAGGGTTTCCATCAGCAGAGGAAGGCTGATTGAAAAGCACTGCACAAAAGGGTTCTGAACAGGGAGTAACAAAACCTGGCTGACGTTTTACAAAGACCCCAGCCACCACCTGAAGAACAGACCCTACGGGGCTAAGAACAGAAACAGGAAACCAGTCAGAGAGCTAGTCAAATAGCTCAGGCAAAAATAGGCTGTCATTACTAGGATGGAGGCGACATGTGGCTAAGGAAAGGTCTGATTCAGGGTTATGTCCTGAGAACAGTGCTGAAGATTTGCAGATCAAGTGGACAGGGGTGTGACAGAAAGGATTGCGGCTGGCTTCAAGGTTTCCAGCTTGGGAAACCGGGTGAATGGTGGGAGCTAGCAATGAGGTGGAAAATGAGGTGGGGTCGGAAGAGAGGGAAACCCAAAGTTCACTTTCTGAAAAATTAAACCCAAGATGTCTGTTATGGATTGAACTGTGTCGCCCAAAAAAGCTGTGTTGTCAATCCTGGCCTCTGCCTGTGTAACCCCACTTGAGAATGGGTTGTTTTCGTTACATTAATGAGATGGAATTAGCATAGGGTGTATTTTGAGTCAATCTCTTCTGAGACATAAAAGTGACTGATCAAGGAAAAAGCAGAGTGAGGGACAGACAGCCATCAAAGCCACCTGCAGACTGCCCGGGAGCAGAAGCTCAGAAGAGACAAGGACCTTCCTCCAGAGCCGACAGGGACAGAAGCCTTCCCCTAGAGCCAGCACCCTGAATTCAAGACTGCTAGCCTTTCCTGAACAGTGAGGAAATAAACTCCTGTTTGTTAAAGCCACCCACCTGCGGCGTTTCTGTGCTAATGGCACTGTTGTTATGTGCCGCTGAGTCGGACACAACTCATAGCGACCCCTCCTTGGGTTTCTGAGGCGGTATCACTACAGGAGTAGATTGCCCCATCTTCCTTCTGAGGAGTGGCTGATGGGTTTGAACCACCAGCCTTCTGGTTAGCAGTCAAGTGCCTTAGGCACTATGCTACCAGAGCTCCCGCTAATGGCACTAGGTAACTAAAACCATGGCTGCAGCCATGTGAGAGAGCCAGTGAATGGGCAATTCTGGATAGAGTATTACTTTTAAAGAATATCATCTCATTAATTAAAAATACAGTCTGTACTCTACATCATAAAAAAATACTTTATTAATAGAATAATGCTTTTAAGATTATTAGCAAAAATCATTGCCTTTGGAAAGAATGGCTGGATTTTTCAGGATTCTAAACAAAAGGCCCAGAGAGTCCAGAGGCCTGCAGCTAGCATTAAGTTGAAAGTAACTCAATTTTCTGACTGAATGCCAATCTCTCTTCCAACACCACACTGAAAACACCAACCCGAGTCATAGGTACAGTCTGAGAATGGTATCCAAGGTGTGTTGTCTGTTTCACTGCCAGTTCTTCCTATGGAGGTGGTGGCTGACTTCTCCAGGTATGGCAACAGGCAGATGATGAGAACAAAGCAGGGCTGGTTGGGGTTGTGTCCCTGAGTTGATTCCAACTCATAGCGACCTTACAGGACAAAATGGAACGGCCCCACGGGAATTCCTAGGCTGAAATATTTATGGGAGCAGACTGCCACATCTTCCTCCCTCAGAGCAGCTGGTAGGTTTGAACCACTGACCTTTCTTTCGATTTGAAGCTGAAGGGGGCATCACTGTGCCACCAGGGTTCCTTAAACCACAGCTAGGAGCAATCAATTAGAACGAGAGGAGGATGTTCTGAGAAAATACTCTGCTCTAGGAAGACCATGGTGAGCACAGAGAGGGAAAAGAAATGAACCACTACTCTCCTCCTTCCCACCCCTCTTCCCTAATCCTCACCTTTCTAAAACATACACAGATGTGCCTGACTTCCCCACTGAAAGCACGTTCCACACTTCCACTATCGGGAGGCTCAAGTGCAAACCCTTCAACTTAGCATGTAAGGTCCATCACCATCCTAGCCCAGACCACCTTCCCTGGTTTCACTCCAAGTCCCAAGGCCCCCGTGTTCTCCAGAAAATGACCACGCAATCAGTACCGTTCCCAATGGCACCTTCTTGCTGATGCCACCCTCCAATCCTTTGTCTCAGCACTGAGTCCTACCGCACTCTGGACACACCTCCATTTCAGCATTCCAAGCTGTGCTGTAGTGATTACCTGAACAACTGGTTCCTTCCTGAAGGGCAGTGCCAACCTGTTACTCTTCTCTGCCCTTCTGTAGGATTCTAAGGTGTCTGGGCCACAGGAAGCAGTACGTATGGAGGGAGCTACTGAAAATCCACGAGGCTTCCGGTGAAGCGGATGAAGTAAGCATCTGTGCTCACCTCAGCCTAGCCACCAGCTCTACCTCCAGTAATTACTATGCCTTGAAAATTAGAGTGAAGGACAGGAAGGGCCTAAGTCCAAAAGGACAGAGGAAGGAGAGGGGAAATGGCAAGAGACGAGCTAGGTCGACAGAATTTTTCAAGCTAAAGTGAAAAGCAGATTGCAGAAAACTTCCCTGCAAGGGGAAAGCCAACAAGCAAAGCCAATTCACACTGCAGAAGCCAAGAGGGACTCAAGATTTGGAGATGCCAGCTATTTCCTTAAAATCAGGAAGACTGGGTCAGAGCCTATAAAAGGTGCAGTCACATCCCCCAACTACTTCCTCTGCAGTGGAACTCTCGGTCCCACAACAACAGCCACTGCCAAGAGCAGTTACAAGGCACCTGGTGAGAACTGGACAGTGAAGTGGAAGTTGGCACGACGAACGCGGAGCTCCCTGCCCTCCTGCCCTGCTTGGCTCCCCAGCAGACACTGTCTACTCTCCAGGGCAGGAGGCTCTGTGAGTCCTCCCTGGGGAACGGATTAGCCAGGAGGAAGGGTGTGACGCTGACATGTGGCAGTCTTTTAATGGAGTGGCCACGTCCCCTGCGGCTGGTAAGGCAGAGCTTGACAGCCAGCGCTGGGCCTCACTCCTGAGTATGGACACGAGGGCCACCAGACAGCTGACAAAAGCCTCCAGCAACAGCATCAGAGAAACGGCCCTCCGAGGAACCAGAGCAGAGGAAAAAGTCAACCACCACCAACAGAAACAAAGGTCCAGATGGGTATCTTCAGAAACAAGAGGAAAAAAGAAATCCATAAACCAAACAAGACTCTGTGAAAACGTATATTTAAAAAATACTCAGAGGCAATCTAAGCGATTTTCAAAAATAGGTCAGCAGGACTAAAAATTTCAATAGAAAGGTTGAAGGATTAAAGTTATTTAAAGTTTATTAACTTTAATAAAACTAGAAATTGAAACAAAAAAATAAGAGATAAGGGAAAGAAATTAGCTCAGTCCGTAAAGTCCAACATCTGAATCCTACCAGCTCCAGAAAGAATGAGCAGGTGAAGTATTTTAGACGGACAGGAACGACCAAGGAGCAGAATGAAACCTAGGTGAGCCACCCTCAACGGGACTGCTCAGTTTTCTGGGTCTGGCAAATTTCCCCCTTTGACAGGTGGCAGTTATACTACTTCCCTATTGCTCCTTTTAGTGGAAAACATGAGTTTTCCTTCTCTGACAGGTTTCCATCTTACACAGGTTCCAGCTTTTGCAGGTTTTACGGTATAGTAACGCTCCCCAGGACTGAGGTTCATGAGTTGAAAGAATAGAAAGATGCATCAGAATACCTAGCATATTAAATGGAAAGACTCACACCACAACATGTTAGATAAAGATAATACTGGATAAAAGGGTTTTAAAAAATAGGTCCTATACAAACGATCGGGAACCAGAGGCACTGGGTCGCCACTAGAAACTATGGGAGTTAAAAGGTGAAGAAGAAGTGCTTGCAAAAACCTGAGGGAATATTACTTGCTACCTAGAATTCTGTATTCACTATAAAAGGAATTAATGGGAAGACACAGGCATTTTCAGACAGCCAAGTACACGATGCTTTGCTCTGTTTTTGGTTTTCTACCTCTGCCGTACCCTTTCTACGGAAGTACTGAAGGATAAACTGGTTGGCAGGGTTGACTCTGACCCGTGTTGTCGGAGGACTGTGCACCACAAGGCTGGCAGTGGCTGGTTTTCAGAAGCAGATTGCCAGGCCTTTCTTCCCAGGTGCCTCAGAGTGGACTTGAATCTCCAACTTTTCAGTTAACAGCCACGTACACCCCACAGAGGATACACCAAAAAGAGCAAGTAAACCAAAAATGGGGAAGACAAGGAACCCAACAAAGGAAAGGGCATTAACTGTCTAATGGTGAAGAGATGTATCAAGACCATAGCTGAGCAGCAGGTCTAGACTCTGGACCAAGGAAATGGATGGGGAATGCCAGCAGAGATGCCTCCAAGGAAAAAGAGTGAAACCAACTGAACACTCAGAGGGCAGAATGGATCCAAAGGCAGGATCCAGACACCTACAAGGCTACGATGAAAGGGCAGACCACCACAGACGACCACAGGGCTCAGCTGAGGGCATCATTTGTAACACCCTATTAATAAACACTGAATTAGATTTAACCAAAAAGATAGGAGAGCACACAGAGAAGGGGGGGGGGATGCACAAGCTGTAAATTTCACCTCTCATAGTGGGAAGTCAAGAAATAACTTCCAAATCTTAAAAAAAAAAAAAAAAAAGTAGTAGTCACAAGTCACAGTATAAACATGTTAGTTACAAACTGGGTGTAAATACCAGACGCTCTGGGGAACAGGAGGGAATGGGCGGGGAGACAGGTGAGGCTGGACCTCGACAACTGCATGAGCACCGCTGTCAGTCCTTGTCCAGTCCATTCTGATTCACAGACCCACGTGTGATCTGTTCACTTGATTTACATTTGATAGAAATATGAATCACATTTTAAGGAACAGGGGTGGGGAAGAGAGGCAGGCAGGCAGGCAGGCTTGTCTAAGGAACCCCAGGAAGGTGCTCAAACCCTAGCACCAGCAGCCACTCAGTAAGCATCGCTGACCGGGCAAAATGCAGGGCTGACGGGCAAGAAAGCAGAGAACCAGGAAAAGGTTATAACACGGGGCACGGTAATGCTTACCTTTGTTTTGTTTTCTTGCACAAACCCGGGGGTGTCTGTGTCAGGTGGGTAGGCCACTGTGATGTAGACATTGTACGGCTTCACCTACATTTAGAGACAATGTGAGCACTCTCAGTAAACAGGACACCAGCTGGCAGGGGCTCTCAGGCAAAGGTCACGTGATACGGCTCTCAAAAGGCAGCAAGGCCAACAGGCGATTTGGGCGTATGCTACCACCAGCGAGCAGGAAACTCCTCTCCACGCAGATTCTTTCGAGGCAAAGACAAGGGCTCCTCCTAACCTCTACTCCAGAAACCAGCTGACCTAAGTCATGGCAAGAGGGAGGCAGTGGTGGCTTGGTGGTAGTCCCTGCCTTCCACGAGGGAGATCCAGGTTCGATTCCTGATCAGTGTGCTGCACGGGCAGCCACGTCTAGCCATCAGGGAAGGCTTGCGTGTGCTCTGACATGCAACAGGTTTCATCGGAGCTTCCAGACTAAGATGCACCACTTGTGAAAATCCTACATATCGTGGCTGCCTGATCTCCAGCCGCCATGGGGATGGCCCAGGGCCCGGCAGAGTTCTTTTCAGCTATAACCCGGCTCACCAGGAATTGGGGGCGGACTGAATGGCAGGGAACAAAGACACGGCAAACCCCCTCCTCCTATGTTTCCTCCACTTACACTGACCAGGCAGAGAGCCTGGAGAGCCTTACGATTCGGCTAACAAAGTGCTAAGGAAGAGACCTGTTCCCCCGTGCACCAGCCCAACACTCCAGCACCGCATCCAAGGCAATGGGACAGGCCTGCTCCTCAGACTGCAGACATGCTTTCTCTTCGAGGCCGCTCCTGACACGTCAGCAGGAATTCAAATTTCAACAGAAGAGACGCAGGACAAAGGCAGTGTGTGGGGACCACTACAGCCCCTGCTCCCTACAGGATTTCTGTGCCACCCAGACCCCCATGTGGAATGACATCCATCCCCCGAGACGTTTGCTTATTTCAGAGCATCCCCTGATATGCCTGGCTGGTCTCATCTGGCCGTCTGTGGTTTGTCTGGAGGACGGTAAGTCCTGACCCCTCCTGGGGTCCAAGAGACAAGCCACTCCAGGGGACACCCACCCTCAACCCTAGACCCCAGCTTCACCCTCCCTCGCCCCAGCTTAAATTCCACCTCACCCCTCTAATTCCAGGGAACAGGCTCTTCGTTTGCTCACCTCCCCACCCCACCCCAGGCCTCCACAAATAGCTCACCGCACAGCTTACCACTCATCAACTCGCCCAACAAGCCTGTGGTGTTTCCCCTGGTCCATGAGCCACGCCCTTCACTAGGGCATTGCCCAGCAGCCACCCTGCACTCTTCCCTACCCGGCTGCTGGCCACCCTGAAATCTCTCTGCCATGTTTTTCACTTCTTGCTGGTGCCCTTGTTAGTTCCCATGAAAAAAAGGAGGAGCACTGGAAGTGGAGAGACAGCTGATTGGAAGGCCAGCCCCTGCTTACCTTAAGAAGGGTTCTCTAGGCAGAAGAATGGAAATGCAACAATCTCTTATACCGTAAGGAAGCCCTGGTGGCTAGTGCTTGGCTATTAACTGAAAGGTCACTGGTTCTAACCCGCCAGCCACTCCATAAGAGAATGATGGGCAGTCTGTGCCCATGAACATTTACAGCTTTGGAAACCCTATGGGGCACTTCTACTCTGTCCTATAGGGTTCCTATAAGTTGGGATTGACTTGATGGCAGTGTTTTTTTCAATCTCGTTGTCTTTGTTTCCCTTAGTATCCCCTGGAAGGCACAGCTCTGAAGCTAGTGGAAGGAGCTGCAAGGGTCCAGAGACGTGTGCGAGTGGGAGACCCCGCCCAGTCATCCTGGATTGTGCAGAAGGGAGATATCTTTGTTGGCTCAGGTCCAGGGCAGCCTGGGTGTGCCAGAGCCAACCACTCAGTGTGGACGGGGCATGCCACTTCAAGGGCCAGCTACACCCAGACGCAACTGGGATCCACTTCAAGCAGTCAGGCTGAGCACGCAAGTTCTCTCCCATTTGTTGTTGAGACAGGGACTTGGGAAACTTCTCTCCCATGGCCTTGGCTTCTGTTGTGCATCAGCCAGAAAAAAAAAAAATCACCAAAAATACCAACAAGTGGTCGTCAGACACCTGCATGCCACCAAAGCTAACTGCTCAGACATAGTGGGTTCTTCACGGCTCACCTGTCCTTGCTCCCTCCCAGCAAGGGCTGACATAAGGCAGCATCTCAAAGCAGTATTTCTCAAACTCAAGGTTACGTAAGGCTGAGTTTCCAAATGGTTAAAACAGAGCTTCTCACAACAGTTTTTTAATGGGGAGGAAGCCCACACTGTCAAGGTTGGAAGAAACCAAGGGGCAGCCCGTCAATCTCTCCCCAGGTTCTGGCATCCTCTCTCCAAGCATTAGGCCAAGGGTCTCTCCCACCTGATGGCTGAGGCCCTCCAATGACCAGTCACTCCACTGTTGATTCAGTCTTTTTCACACATCTAATGCACGTTGACTGAACTATGACACTGTGCCAGGGCTGTTCTGAGCACATATATGGATGGGAACAAAGCAAACGTAACCCCTGGCTTCACAGACTTCAGAGAGCACTGAAACTCCTGGTCAGTGATTTGCTAAAACCGAAATACACTAAACCGTATCTATCTACACCTTTCTCTAATCCATCAATCTCATTGTTGCCACTGCCTGCCTACCACGCTGGCCCTCGACTTCCAGCAGCCCCATGTTACAGAGTGGAACTGCTCCATAGGGTTTTCTCGCTATAATCTTTACGGAAGCAGTTCACAAGCCTTTTCTCCTACGGAGCCACGGAGTGGGTTCCAACTGGTAACCTCCAAGTTCACACTGACCGTGAGAAAAACCACACGTGCCATTCAGTTGCCTGCCAATCCCACAGCTCTTTTATGAAAGCAGGTGAAGTTTGCACGGTCTCATTTGCTCTTGGTGAGGGAATACTGACTCTGACACTCAGAGACTTTTTCTAAGCTTGTAAGGCAGATGTTCACTAACGGTTCCCCAGCTTCTCCCACCTTCTGTCTGCTGCCCCATGCCCATCCCACGATCATCTTCTCCCTCCTTCTTGGCCTCAGCTTCATACAGAAAGATGACCACTCTGCCGAGAACAGCTTTGTCGTCAAAATAACCTCACCGAAGTTGCGCTGATCTCACTCTGTCCACGCCAAGGCTGGAGAGAAGAGCCAGCTGTGCTCACAAAGCTCTGGAAGTTCAGCTTCCCCTTACTTTTAGCCCAGGCGGGACCAGAGCTCCAGCGAGGCAGGAGAGTGTGAACAAAAGCAAAAAGGAAATCTCTAGTTTTTTCTCTGCTGGGTTTCCGCTACCACACCTTTGCCTATAACCCACCTTGGAAGCTTGCTTTTCAAAGAGATTAACTTTTGAAAAATCTTTTAATGACCTACTAATACCGAAAAGAATCAGACAGGGGGAAAAAACAAACAACTACCGAGAAAACATTCCTTCAGAATTATTCGTGATACATAAAACATTTCTAGGGTCTTACTTTAGTGTGGGATGGGGAGGCGGCCAGGAAGACTCAACAGTTAATTAAGCCAAAGAAGATTACCAAGAATATACAGAGTTTGAGCAATTCTAGAAGGTTCCACTCACAGAAAGCCATGCCCCTGGCAAACAGACTCTGAATTATCTCGCTTCCAAACACAACACTACCAACTTGTTGAGAAACAACTGTCTCCACGCAGCCTCCACTATGAACAAACAACTGCTGTCCTTATAAGATTTTGATTACTGAATTTACTTCCTTCAAAGCCTATTTTTCATAAGACATGCTTTGTTGCGTGGGAATCTTGGTTAGTTACCGTCAAGTTGATTCTAACTCAGCAATACCCTGGGACAGAGCAGAACTGACCACAGGGTTTTCTAGGCTGTAATCTTTACGGAGCAGGTCTCCAAGTCTTCTCTCCCATAGAGCTGCTGGGTGGGTTCAAATCACCAATCTTTCGGTTAGCAGCCGAGTGCTTAACTGCTGCATCCCCAAATATCGTTGAGGATATTTTTAAGGGAGCCTAACTATGGGTATTGGAGCTCTGGTGACATAATGCCTAAGGCATCTGACAGCTAACCAGAAGGGTGGCAGTTCAAACCCACCAGCCACTCCTTGGAAGGAAGGTTATGCAATCTACTTCAGTAGTGATACCACCTAGGAAACCCACGGAACGGTCGCTATGAGTTGGATATGATTTGATAGTAATGAGTTTGGTTTTTTCATTTTTTAACTATGGATAGGAGCTCTGATAGCACAGTGTCTAAGCTGTCTCTGACTGCTAACCAGAAGGTTGGTGGTTCAAACCTACCAGCCACTCCATAAAAGTAAGACTGGGCAATCTACTGCCATGAAGATTGACCACCCATGAAACCCAATGGGGCTGTGAGTCAGAATCGACTTAATGGCAGTGGTTTAAACATGGATATGGAGCCTGGAAGCACCGTAGTTAAGTGCTTGGCTGCTAACTGAAAGGTTGGCTGTCCAAACTCATCAGCTGGTCTGCAGGAGAAAGACGTGTCAGTCTGTTTCCATGAAGACTTAGAAAGCTTTGGGAACCCTGTGGACCTTTCTCCCTGTCCTACAGAGGCACTGTGAGCTGAAACCAACTTGACAGCACCTGACTGAGATATGGATAGAATTTAAGAAAGCTTCCAAGTGCAGGCCAGCTACTTACGGCACTGACTCACAGCATCAGAGGGGCTGTGGGGAACTCAGTCTGCACTACCCACTCTTTCTTTTTCCTCTTCCTTATTAACATCTTTGTTTGACATGCAGTGAAATCAGACCGCCAGTATCCACTCTGCCCTAAATGAGTGATCCTGAGTCTCACTGCAAGATGCACCTCAGGGCCAGCAATCCCAGGTGCTGACTGTTCACTTCCAAGCACCCCCTTCACCTACTTGGTCTCTGAGACCAAAGTAAAGTGAGGCAATGAGCCAGGTGAGTCAGGCACCTCCTAACCTGGATCACAGAGATGTCACCTGCGCAGGGGCTCTAGAACTTCTGTCACAAGGTCACTATGTGGTGTTAAGTGGAAAACTCACTTTTCTAATCCGTAAGGCAGCAAAACAACCTGTACTCCACATCACTCACCAAACTCCTATAAATAGAAAGTGGTTATATATACAAGGAATTTTCAAAGTAAAAATTGCAAAAAAAAAACCAAAACAAAACAAAACAAAAAAACAACAAAACCTGAGATTCTTGAAATTCTACAGTGCTCATGTCCTCTTGGCTAAGCACATAACAAATAATTATTATCAGATAAGAGTGTTAAGCAAGTTGATGAGAGAGTGATCAGAGGCTGGCTCTGCTGGTGTGAGAACAGCACATTTTCTAAGTGGCGGCAATGCCACAGCAGGACCTTGTCACTGACCGACAACTCGTTGGTAGTGCAACACTTTCCCAACATCATGGCAGTGTGGAACTCTGTCACATACCATCAGGGTCTCCTCTGGGATCTTCTAAATCAGGGGTTACCAGACGAGGGTCCGAGGACCAGACCTGGCTCTCGGCTTGTTCTTATAAATAAAGCTTTATTGTAATACGGCCACTCCCGTTGGTTTACACACTGTGTATGGCTGCTTCCATGCTGCCATGCAGAGCTGGGTAGTTGACAGAGACTATCTATCCTTCACAGCCTAAAACAGTTACTATCTGGCCCTTTACAGAAACTTGCCAACTCTTCCCTGAGCTAAAACATGACAACCAAAAAAACCAAACTCACTGCCGTCAAGTTGGATCCAACTCATGGTGACCCCTCCTTGGGTTTCCAAGGTGGTATCTTTACAAAAGTAGATTGCCCAACCTTCCTTCCGAGGAGTGGCTGGTGGGTTTGAACCGCCAGCCTTCCGGTTAGCAGTCAAATGCTTTAGGCATTATACCACCAGAGCTCCTTAAAACACGACACAGACACCCAAATCCTCTTTACTACAGGAGCGTTGGCCACAAAGGATTTTCTGCTCAGCTGTTAACACCAGGATGCAGTACTGTATTTCACTGTAGCCTGCTACAATAAGAATTTCACCTTGCCTTTTTTGGTATATGATTTGGGATAAGTATGTATGATGCCATCTAAGCATCCCCATGTGACAACAATGTGGAAGTCTACTTCTCGGAGCTCATGTGTGAGGACAAATGCCTACTTTGATAATAACCCTAACTACACCTTCTTCCACATAATGTGCTATTAACTGTGAAAATGAAAAGCATTTGCTTTCATCAATATTTCTTTAAAATACAAATATTAAAGCCAAATGATTTTTTTTGGTTCATCTATCTCATTTCAGATGAGGAACTGTGACCAAGTCAAACTACTTGTCTAAAAACTGAGAGCTACAGTAGCTGACCTATGCTCTTCCCTCAAACACCTGCTAATTTTATTATCCATTCAAGGTCAGGGAGCTCTGGTGGAGTAGTGCCTAAGGCATCTGACTGCTAACCAGAATGCTGGCAGTTCAAACCCACCAGCCACTCCTCGGAAGGAAGGTTGAGCAATCTACTTCTATAGTGATATTGCCTTGGAAACCCAAGGAGGGGTCACTATGAGTTGAATTAACTCGACAGCAGTGAATGTGGTTTCGTTTTTTTACTCAAAGACAAATCTTTTTATTAAAGAAAAACATCTACAGGATAAAATGTCTGGTTAACCTTACACAGACTCACACAGTATTACACCAATGGTATTCAGAAGTACCACTGTACACTGTAGTGCTTTGTTACTAAATTAAGCCAGCAAAAAAACTCATAGCCATTTTGCTCCCATCCTAACTATAATCTTTAAGCAACGAAAAATGTTAACTCTAAAACTTATAGGTTGAGCCAATTCTCTTTCACTAACGTCAATTCTATAAATCTCTAATTTAACACAACACCACATATACATAAGCCACAAAGCTGAAGGAGATATTCCAACGCTCCGTGCAGCACTGTTCACAATAGCCCAATGGTGGGAACCACCTAAACGTCCATCAGCAGATGAATGCATATACAGAATGTGGGACGTGCATACAATGGACTACTACTCAGCCAAAGAGAAATGGAGTTCTGAGATGTACTATAACATAGACAAACATGCAGGGTAAAGTCAGTCACAAAAGGCAAATACTGTACGATTCCAAACAGGCAAACAGAAAGACCCACACTCTTTAGTGGTTACCAGGGGTGGTGGCCAGAGTTCCTGCTCAAGGTGGTGGAACCATTTGGAAAGGGACAGTGGTGATGGTTATGTAACGTGATGAACATGTACATGTAAAAAGGATTAAGTCGGTAAACGTTTTGTCACACACACTTGTGTTAGTTTTTGTCAGGTGCTGTCGAGTTGGTTCCAACTCACAGCGACCCTATGTGCCATGGAAGGAAATGCTGCCTAGTCCATCCTGCAGTCCCGACAACGGTAGGTTTGTCTGAGCTACTACTGCTGCAGACACCGTGGCAAGCCATTTGATGTAGCTCGCTGAGGGTGTTCCTCTTTTTCACCGACCCTCTACTTTACCAAGCACGACGTCCTCCAGGGACTGTGACTCCCAAAAACATGAATAAAGTACCAAAATAATAACAACAACAAGGGGACCCGATCCTGCCAAGGTGAGAGGAGCAGGTACAGAAACAGAGAGATCACCTCCATCTGCAACGCTTCAGCCAACCCCCTCAAGGCGAACTTGGACGAGGAGTAGGCCGTGTAGCCGAAGAGGCCCAGCTGCCCGGCCTGGGAGGACACGAAGACGATCCTGCCCCCGCGGCGCTCCTTCATGGTGGCGATGACGGCGCGACTGGGGTACACGCTGCCCAGGTAGTTGACGCTCATTAGTTTCTGCAGGGAACAGAGGCAGGAGTGAGCAGGGCCAGGAGGCACAGTGCCCAGCGAGGGCTGCTGCTCCAGACCCGAGCTCTTCAACAGATGCTCAGCTGACTGGGAGCGGCTGAGATACGCTGGGCGAGTGAATGAGGAAATGGCCATCTCAACAAGGCAGGCCGGTCAGCACCCACCACCCATGCCTGTTTCAGTCTGGCCCTGCACTGGGCTATATTCTCTCAGCAACAGCACGGCCTGGGCTGAAAACTGGTCCAAACTCGTTTTCTCCTCATACAGTGGGCTGACTAATGCCCCTGGAAAGTCACACCCACCTGAGCCTCAGGATGTCAGCTTTTCTGTGTTAGTTGAGGATTGAGACGAGATGATAATGGAGTAGGGTGGGCCCTATATCCAAAGAATGAGAGTCCTCCTAAGAAAAGGCAGTACAGGGAGACAGACAGATACAAGAGAGACAGACAGGGAAGAAGGCCATGCCCAGATGGAGGAGCTCCACGGTTCTGTCCTCCCAGCACTGGGCACAATCTGAACTCACACCGTGGGCTTGCCCGACAGTCCGCCTGAACTGATCGGGGCCATGTTTTTCTTCTCTTGCTCACCCTGCACCCCCCGGCCCCAGGTCAATGCTTGACCACAGGGGCACGTTTGGATATTTGTGGGCTGGAGGAATACAAAGGGCAGGAGATGAACACTTACCAAAATCCCCCCAGGGCTAAACACTATGCACACGTTGAGTCCCCAGTCTGCACAGCCTGTGAGTTCTACACCCAGTCCAGAGATGAAGCCAGAGGCCAGAATGAGAAGGAGCCATCGCCTGAGATCACACAGCTAGGGGACGGTTACATCGAAACCAATGAGAGCTAAGACTTGAAGTGGGTTTAGTCTGATGCCTAAGCCTACCTTCCATCTGCACATGGCCTTCTTCCCTGTCTGTCTGTCTCTCCTGTATCTGTCTGTCTCCCTGTGCTGACTTTTCTTAGGAGGACACTCATTCTTTGGATTTAGGGCCACCCTACTCCATTATCATCTTGTCTCAATCCTCAACTAACGCAGAAAAGCTGACATCCTGAGGGTCAGGTGGGTGTGACTTTTTGGGGGCATTAGTCAGTTCACTCACTGCCTGAGGAGAAGAGAGTTTGGACCAGTTTTCAGCTCAGGCCGTGCTGTTCCTGTGAGAACGTAACCCAGTGCAGGGCCGGACTGAACAGGCAAGGGTGGTGGGTGCTGACTGGCCTGTCTTGTTGAGATGTCATGCTGAACCATGCTGCTGAGGCAGAGGAAGAGACTCTGTGGGAGGGTACGGGTGGGGAAAAGGGGGGTAGGGAGGAAGGAGAGTGGTCATTTGGTACGGAGAGAGTGAAGAAGGAAGATGGCGGAGGGAATGAGACTAAAGAGCGAGAGTAAAATGAGTTCATTTCAAGAAGACTGGGATGGTGTGTTTTTAATATTTCAACATGATACACACACACAGACATACACATATATATATATTTTTTTTTCTTTCAGTTTTTAACTTCTACCCTCATCTCACCTGCTTCACATTTTCTCCTGGTCACATACATCCCCTGGCATTATATACTTGACTTCTTCTCTGCTTAAGGGACACCCACACGAAACATTCACAGCTGTCTAGATACTTCCATCAGATACATAAAGGCAAAACACCTCCTCCTGCCGTGTTCCCAAGCAGATACACCCCACATTCCCAAGGCCCCACCTTTACAACTACTCATTTATTGATGACAGCTAAGCAAGGAGCCCTGGTGGCACAGTGGTTAAAGGTTGGCACTTTGAACTAACCAACAGCTCCACAGGAGAAAAGACGTGATCATCTGCTCCCTTACAGGCAACAGCCCAGGGAACCCTGTGGGGAAGTTTCACTCTGTCCTGGCAGGTGGCTATGAGTGGGAATTGAGACGGTGGCTCAACACACAACCATGCCTTCTTCAACCCGCTCTGCCCCCCCCCACTCAGTCAAGGTGAGCTGGCTGATTCTCCCTCCACACCATCCTCCACATACACACCTGCGCTCACCTGTGTGTGCGTGCACACAAACTCTTTTCCTGGTCACTTCTTAAGCCTTTATCTTGATCACTTCACAGCTACACAATTGTAACAACAATTTTCCCTGATGGACTTTTTCACACAGCTGCTGAAACGATCTTCAGAGTCTCCCTTTCCTTCCTTACACACAAAGGAACCCAAGTCCAGACACCCACTCTTGATGCCGGTTTGATGAAGGAATCTCAAGGCACTCAAGCTCTAGATAAGCCTCCCTGCCCTGCTCCGTCTCCAGTGTTTCTCCAGGCTCGCCTTCAGGACATCACCATCCAGTGCTTCACACCACCACTGAGAAGCAGGACATGTCAACTACTGGTCTCCTTTGCTATCAAAGAGAAATATTATGTAACTTCATAGTGTAAACCACCTGTTACAGACCGAATGGTGTCCTCCAGAAAGACAGCTGAAGTACTAACCTCCACACCTTTGTGAACGTGTTTGGAGATAACATCTTTAAGAAGCCCTGATGGTGCAATGGTTAAGCGCTTGGCCGATAACCAAAAGGCTGGTGGTTCTAACCCACCAACCAGCCTGTTTGTGGGAGAGAGATGTGGAAAGAACATGTGAAGGTGCTGTCAGGCAGGTTAACATGAGGCCACACTAGACTAGGGTAGATCCTAAACCTGTATGACTGGTGTCCTTTCAAAGACAGAGAGACAGAAGACAGATGGCCATGCGAAGATGCACCTACAAGTCAAGGAATGCTAGGACTGCCAGAAGCTGCCAGGAGCAGAGAGAGGCATAGAACAGTTTCTCTCTCAGAATCCTCACGAGGACCCAACGAGGCCAATGCCCTGATTTGAACTTCTAGCCTCCAGAACTGTGAGACAATAAATTTCTGTTTTCATGAGCCACCAGTTTATAGTATTTTGTTACAGCATCTCTAGGAAACCAGCACAGAATCTAAAACCCATCACTACACCAAGAGCTCAACAGAACATTCAGAAAAAGAACGCTGATGTATTGTCTACCAAAAAATGTGTTGCATTTAAGAAAGATTTCAAATTGAATGTCCATTTCTTTATGGCTAACAGGAATTACTAGGAGAGGCTCCACAGCAAACCTGCTTAAAATATAAACATAAATAAAATGCATTATCTTTTTTTCATGATTTGAGAACCCAAAAGTCTGCCTTCAGCCTTCTTGGACTGTTCATCGTTCCAAACACTGATGCTCTATGCGAAACCCAACATCTCTTGGTCTGCAATGTACTTCCTTGTACAAAGGCCTTCAGTGAATCCTCTCAGAATCTCTGTGAGATTGGAAGCTTCCTTCCCATTTGACAGCTAAGGACACTGAGGCTCCGAGACTTGTCTAGATGCTACAGGTTAGTCTGTCATAGTGCTGAGAGCAACCCATGGTCAGCTTTCCTCCAGTCTTCTAGAGCTTCTATTAACATCTAAATGTACTTTATCTACTTCAATCTTAAAGTCTCTTTCTACTTCTAATGCATGAGCTACCAAGTGAACATACATTTTTACTTACTTCAAAGGCACTAACTTCCAGCTCTTCAAATTTTCCTGGAAGTGACGTTCCTGCACAGTTTACAAGCATGTCCACCGGACCCAGCTTCTCCTGAGCCTAGAAAAAGTGATCAGAACCACAGTAAGAAAGAGAAGAGAAAAATCACTTAGAAAGTCAATGTGAATAGGTAAAATCCACAAAGTTATTCAGTCTACATGGAAGATTTACCAACTCCAAGCCCCACAGGAAAATGGTCAGACTACTCAAAATGCAAGGGAATTAACTGCAACTGGACTAGCATCTTACTTGCTTTATGACGTTCTCCACTTGGTTATAGTCTTGAGACACATCAACTGATATACAAAGCACCACCTGTGAAAAAAGAGAAGAAATGCGCACAGATACACAGGTGTTTCTATTTCAGTGAGACTGACTGATTTGCTATTAAAGGCAATTCTTTGATAAGAAGCCCAATTTTGAATGTAGAGATTGCAGACTTTGAAATCTGCTGACAATGCAACTAGGAAAGTTTAATTTTCTCGGCAGTCTCAGGTATGAAGATACTCAAAAGAATTTTTTAAGAAATATGAAAATACTCATCTTGAAATGCCACCATCTACAGGTGAGAGTTGCCCCCAGCCAGGAGCAGAGGGAGGGGTGGATTGCAAACGGGTATGGGGAAACATCGGAGGATGACAAATGTTCTGGCCCTTGATCAGATGGAGCTGGTTTCAAAGGTGCATAACCCAAAGCCAACCAAACCCATTGCTGCTGAGTCTTAACAGCTCTGCAGAACAGAGAACTGCCCCGTAGGGATTCCAAGGCTCTAATCTTTTTGGAAGCAGACGGCCACATCTTTCTCCTGTGGAGCGGCAGGTAGGTTTGAACTGCCAACCTCACAGTTTGCGGCTGAGAGCTTTAACCACTGCACTACCAGGGCTCCTCTCATAAGTGCATACATCGGTCAAAAGCTGTCAAGTTATATATACTTTATGTGAGAACAGTTTACTGCACATAAATTATGTCTCAGTAAAGCTGTTAAAAAACAGTAAACCTAAGGGCTTTTTTTGAAAAAGTAAAATATGTTTATTCAAAATGGTTTTTATTTATTTATTAATTGATGGGTATGAAATAACATTTTTTACTCATATAGCAAAAAGCAAAAGGATTCCCCAAGGAAGAACTCCAATCCAGCCCAGAGTGAAGCAAGAACAAAGGAGAGGGTGTGGCTTTGACCTTTTTTACCTAATAGAGTTTATTTTTGTAGTTATTGGGAACACGCACAGCAGAACACACACCAACCCAACAGCTTGCACAGGTACAGTTCAGTCACAGTGATCACATCTGAGTGTGCACCCATCGTCATCTCCTTTTCTGAGATGTCCCTCTTCCATTCATGTGAATTCCCTGCTTCCAGGCTCCCTATCTCACTTTCTGAGTTGCTGTTGGCAGTCTGACCACAGGTAGCTCATTCTCGTAAAAGCACCATGCTCAAGGCTGGCATTCTTTCCTAGCTAAGCTGAACCACTAACAATAACAACTGTCTGCTTTAAAGAAGACTCGAGGGGTATTTTGAGTTTAAGGATTATCTCAACCGTTTCAGTGTGCATCTAATTTCCGTGGTTCCAGAAAGTCTAGACTCCATGAGAACTGGAAATTCTGCTCAGCTTAATACATGAGTCTTAAAATACCTCCCCTTGCACACTGCTAGGGCTCACGGCCCTGCTGGGATTCAGTATCAATAAGTAGACCAAAGACGTAAGCAAACAATACCTACTCCTAGGAGGTCTCTTAGTTTAGGTGTAAGTTCAGAGGTTGAGCCAGGTGACAGCCCAAGTGGGCTATGGGACATTAACTTCAAGGCCAAGAGTCGATCTTAGCCTGGAGAGGCAGACCCAGGAGCCAAGTTGTGTTTGGTTCACTCCAAGGCTTGAGACTGCTGACTGTGGAATGAACCAAGATTCTCCAGACATATGGTCACCAAGCAGAGCTTCAGAGCCCACCCACAAAGCCTGACCAACACTTGGGGTTCCCAGTGCAGAGCAATGACAGGGCACTGCTCAGCCTGTACTGATCCCTGAAAACAACTGCATCTAGCCTTGGTGGAGGGGAGGGGAGAATATTACAGAGCAGTGAAAAACAAATTTTGTGCGGGTGTATGTAGTTAGCACAGGTGAATTTCAAAAGCAGTATACAGTGAAGGAATCCAGTGTACAAGAGTCCATAAAGAAGGATGCCATGCCCGTGTACAGAGACAGAAGGGAGACTGGCGACTGCCTGGGGCTGGGATGGGAAGAGATGGCGGTGACTGCTTGGGGACGATGCAGGGTTTCTCTCTGGGGTGATGAGAATGTTCTAAAATTGTGGTGCTGCTTGCACAACTCTGTGAATACCCTAAAAGCCACTGCATTGTACATGTTACACAGATCAATTGCATGGTATATGAATTATATCTCAATAAAGCTGTTAAGAAACGAAGGACGATACCATAAAGCTCAAAAAGCAGCAGAACTAAACAATATACAACTTAGGGTTACACGCACATGGTGACATGATAATGAAAAGCAAAGGGAAGTCAGCAGAAAAACCAGCAGGGGCTGCATCTGGATAGGAGACAAGAGGGATGAGGCTGATGTGGGGCACAAGGGGGCTTCAGAGTTCTGGAATATTCTGTTTCTCAAGCTGGATGATAAGGGTATGGGTATTAACTTATTATGCTTTATAACCAAAATACTTAAAAAATATAAGCTGTCCAACTAGCTCTCTGCCCGTGTTTGTACATATAGTCTATTTTTTATAAATAACTGAAATAAAAAGTTCTACTAAAATAGACTGTCACTTGATCATCTGTGTCTGTACCACATCGATACACTTTTGTTAATAAGCAGAGTTCCTGGACAATCAAACAATGTCACCTTTTTCCAAGTCTAATGTGCACTTGACTAGGAAATCCCTCCATGCTGTCAATGAACTGTCCCAGTTGAACCTCCTTCTCTCCTGTGTATACCTGAGGGGTGACCAAAACAGAAAACGTGTCATAGGGACAGTGATTTACCTGTTTGTCGTTGATAGAGTGCTTCTCAATTTCTTTCCTGGCTTGCAGTAGCTTGTCCTGAAAGCAACGGAGAACAATTATGTCTGGTGACTGTCTGTCTGCCTGCCCACTGGTTTAAAAGGAGAGAAAAGGCAGTGATATTTATGTATGTGTTAAATTCTAGAAAACAGCATCTGTATTGTACAGCTGTGGGCCAGAGCCTATAAAAGGAAGGAGCCAGAGGTATGTCAAGCTACAAGTAAGTGACCCCAAAGCGGGCTGAACAGTGTGCCCCAAAATTCATGTCCATCCACAACCTCAGAACGTGACCTTATCTGGAAACAGGTCTTTGCAGGCATAATTAGTTAAGGACTGAGATACGACCATATGATTAGGGTGGGAGCTAAATCCAGGAGACTACCCTTCTAAGAGGCAGAAAAGGACACACAGCGGCACAGAAAAGGTTGTCATGTGAAGACAGAGGCAGAGACTGGAGCGAGGCTGCCAGAGCCAAGGACGCCTGGAGCCGCCAGAAGCTGGGAGAGAAGGCAGGCCACCCTGAGAGCCTCCAGAGGGAGTGTGGCCCTGGCGACACCTGGACATCAGACTCCTGGGCTCCAGAACGTGACAGAGTGCAGTGCTGCTGTTCAAAGCCACCCAGTCTCTGGTAACCTGTTAAAAGTGGTTCTAAGAAACTATTACAGACAGCAAAAATGTTTAAATGCAACATGAAGTTTTGTATTATCAGTGAAAGATAATAATATTCAAATAAAACCCTCAAAACCCCAACTGACAGTACTGAGGGTCACCCTACTGATTCTAACACGTGCTCTGATCTCACATTATTCAGCTGTGACATGAGACTAGCACAAGCACAATGACATGTAACAGACGCAGAGCTACGGGCATATGACCCCACGTCAGCAGTGCGCTCGTAGAAACGACCCTCTGACTGACCACAACAAGGGCAGCTCAGTATGAAACCACCTGTTTTACTCTTCTGTCATAAAAGTAAACACAGTGCCCTGGGTGGACTCAAACTGCCAACCTTGCAGTTCATAGCCATGGGCGGACTGTCCCACCCAGGAACTCCTAGAAAACAAAAGGAGGTGACAAATAATGAAGGAGTCATTTCCATGGAAACGTTCTCTTGATCAAATGTGTTCCTCAAACTTCTTACCTTTCCTCAGGCCCAACTGCACTACTCATGATCTAACTGAAGTAGGAAAAACACTGCAGTAAAAGGTACTCAAATACACTCTTCAAAAATACTATAATCAAGAACTCTTTATACCACTTGGATGTTGCTTGTAAAAAATGCCTGTGGTTATCGATCAGCATCAAAAGGAAAGCGCAGACAGTGGAGTCCTACCCAGACGTAAAGAGAAAGGAAGTCTGCTTCAACATGGATGAGCATGAAAACACACCGAGGAGAGGAGCTCCGTCACAGACGGGCAAACCGCGTGTGACCTCACTTACGTGAAATCCCCAGACCAGGCAAAAGCAGGGAGCTCAAATGTTAGCAGAGGTGACCGGGTCCGGGGGAGGGGGAGCAGGGGCACCCTACTTCAGGAAGCACTGAGCTTCTGTTTACAGGGTAAAAATCTGGTGATGGATGCCAGTGATGGCTGAATGACGTGGCGCTGAAACTGGTCTTTCCAACAATAAAAAAAATGCCAAGGAATGAAAAGTCAAAGTAGTGAAGATCACTCATTAGATGGACCGGACAAACTTATGCCTACTTTCAAAGATGCTCTAAGACAAGCAAAACTGCCCATGCGCTCAAGTCACTGGTCCCAGGCCTCCTTTTTCTGGGTGCTATTTCTCAGGGAGGTTACAGTATCCTAGTTTGCTGCAAACATTGTAACTGAAATACCCTGGGAGAGCCAGAGAAGAACCACAGAGGGAGGGAGTCCTGACAGACATGTAGGTTCTAACCATGAATGAATCCACAGTAAACGGGTGGTGGTGCGCCGTCCAGTCGATTGCGACTCACCACACCCTACAGGACGGAGTAGAAGTGCGTTCTAGGTTTCCTAGGCTGAAATCTTCATGGAAGCAGCCTGTCTTACCTTTCTCCTGTGGAGCAGCTAGTGGGTTCAAACCACCACCCTTTTGGTTAGCAGCCAAGTGCTTAACCATAGTGCCACCAGGGCTCCTTTCCGTAACAAAGCAATGTTGTTATATTGTTGTTAGGTGCCACTGAGTTGATTCTGACTCACAGTGATCCCACATACAACAGAACAAAACTGTGCTCAATCCTGCACCATCCTCACGGTCCCTGATACACTCGAGCCCATGGGTGCAGCCACAGTGTTGACCTATGTTGTTGAGGGTCTTCCTCTTCCTCGCTGACATACACGTCCACAGTCTGACGTTGCCAAAACTGGAGTGAAAAATTGCACTGGAAAGTAAAGCATCTCTCCCAGGCAAAGGGCCCCTCTACTGACTTACCTCTAGTGAGGCAAGGCCAGCAGCTGTGAGCCCCGTGCACCTGAACAGGGGCCACCTGTGCTTCCTGGTTCAACTGGCTCATGGCAAACGCTGCTGTCATTCAAACCTTACAAAATGCCACTTGACTAAATGTGTGCTTTCATCCGTGGAAAGTGGCTTCAAGGCCAAAACAAATTCATGGCTAGAATAGTTTCGGGATAACAAAAAAGGCAGGGAGCTAATTCTGCCTTTCTGGGTGTTTAAAGGAGTTATGGACCTTCAAGCTTAACTGTGTCCGTCTTATATGTCCCCCCCGACGCCTGCTACAGCTTGCCATGCCCACTGGGCCCTGTCTAGCTGTCCAGCCCCCATCTGACTGGTTGCCATATCTCTACCCTCCAAGTAGACAAATCCATCATTTCCAAGCAACTATGCCAAGCTGGCATCCCCATCTCCCTTACTGCTCCCTTCATTTATCAACAGTTTTTGAGCATCTGGTACCTGCCAAGCCCAACTGTCAATTTGTCATTCTGTGGCGGCTCGCATGTTGCTGTGAGGCTGGAGGGTATGCCAGCAGTCTTTCAAATCCCACCAGGGTCACCCATGGTTTCAGCAGAGCTTCCAGACTGAGGCAGACCAGGACGAAAGGCCTGAGGACCTACTTCTGAAAATTAACCAGCAAAGCCCCTATGGATCACAACCGAATATCACCCAGCACAGTGCTGGAAGACGAGCCCCCGAGACCAGAAAGCACTCAAAACACAGTGGCTGCAACAGTGGACTCAAACTTACCAACTGTGAAGACGGCACACGACAGGGCACCGTTTCATCTCGTTACACACAAGGCTGCCATGAGTTAGAGCTAACTTGACACTAGCACAGGACAACAGAGTGGACAACACACACACTCCTCCTCACACCGAGCATGATGCTGCACGACCGTGTGAAAACACTGGCAGCACTCTGGGGTTCTGGGAACAACGCTGGGGAAAATAACAGAATCGAAAAACACACTTCAACTTGACACAGAAGAACCGAGCTCAAAGGGCAGCATGTGGGCTTTACTTGCGATACGTATCACGCATGAGCAGATTATAAACAAACAGCTAGGCAGCCTCAGGGCCCTGAAATCCACTCCACAAACACCCTGCCCGCTCCAAGGTGGCAGAGGGCTGCTGGTCCCAACAGCCAGATCTGCCCACTGTCCCCTATCGCCGCTCTGACCACATTACGAGGGAGTAATTTGTAGCTGTGTCTTGGTCTCCCCCATCTCAAGGTCTCCAGTGGCAATGAGGCTGCCTAACACAGACAGAGCCTGGTTCCAAATTTCCCACTTTACAGGTTTAGGGACAACTCTTACTTGCCCTGCAATGTTATGTAAATTTGCCCTCACTGTGAACCAACCCCTACACACAACAAATTCTGTGTCACAATCACCTTCACCTGCTGTCCCTGCAGCTTTTAAGTCATTGCAGAGGCGTTTCCTCCGCACCAAAGTGAGGTGAATGAAGAACCATGTGTTCCTGTTCCGATTCGCCTAGAAGCTCTACAGACTGACTTAAAGATGGTTAGGAACGGATGTTGTTGGTAACCCGGCGACTGTCTGTACATACTGCTGGTACCTAAATAAATATTTGTCGGGCTGATCTGATGTCCACTACGAAGTCGATGCCCTAGATACGAGAAAGCACTGGTAGTTCGAGAGTCACAGCTTGGGGACGTGAGCTGTTTCCCGCCCAGGAGTGGATACCAGGATGCTCAGAGCAGTCTCTCTGACTAATTTCAAGTTGACGAAGTTGGTTGGTGATAACACCCCTAGAAGACTTACCTCATTTCGTGCAACCAGAGTGATAAACGCTCCTTGTTTATAGCACTCGATAGCAACACACTTTCCGATGCCGCTGGAGCCCCCGGTCACCTAAAAACAAAACAAAACAACAATAAAATCTCCTCAGCACTGGAAATTTCCCTCATGCAGCAAGTGGGCTGAAGATCACTACTCTGTGACTCAAATGCTTTCCACTTACCATGAACCTAAAGACTGGCCGGTCAAACCCACCCAGTGGCACCACGAAGAAAGGCCTGGCAGTTTTCTCTCGTAAAGATTACAGCCAAGCAAATCCTGTGAAACAGTTCTGCTCTGTACACAGGGGTTCACCGTGAGTCAGCACCAACGTGGCGGCAATGGTAGCAACTTTTGTTTTTCCACCGCGAGCTCTAAAACACACTCTGTTGCTGTGGTATGTCGTCGCGTCAACTCCGACTCAGAGCCCCTACAGGACAGAGTAGACTTGCCCTGTGGAGTTTCCTAGGCTGTGATCTTCAAGGGAGCAGACTGCCAAGTCCTTTCTCCTGCAGAGCAACTGGGTGGTTCGAACCTCTGACCTTCTGATTAGCAGCCAAGCACTTAGTCGTTGCTCCCTTAAAACACACTCTGGAAGAGCTCAATATCCGGCTATTGAAGCTTTCCACCACATTTAATGTGGAATGAGTAGACAGGAAAGATTGCCCGGTCAGCAGGGCCTAACGCTTTCCTTGTTTTTACATACACAACTACAAATAAACTGCCCACCTATCATATTTTTCTGAGTTCTGTGGAGGGAAAATGCCCTGTAAATCTAGCCTGAGTCCAAATCCACATGAATCTTATTTCTTTACTGCTTATCCCCCGGGCAAGACGGGTTCTACCAGAGATTAAAGGAAAGGCCACCCGCAAAAATCGAACAATATTTTAAATGGCCGCTGATGACAAAAGTTCTACGTGATCCAAAGAACGTACAGAAAGGCCAAGCTTTGCATGGTGCACGCTTCTCCCCTCACCTTCTACAGCTCAGCCACACGGGCTCTTTCACCCCATGCTCCCTCCTGCACAGGGCCCTGCCGGGAGCACCCTTTCCCTTCTTCCGGCTAGCTGGCACCCATCAGATCTCAGCTCAGGCGCCACTCACTCCCACCAGCCCCAACCAGGCACCCCTTCATTCACTTCTCAGCTCCACATCCTTTATCTTTACTTTATGGTGCTGACACATTCAGACAGACATGCATTTATTTGTAAGATTATTTCATGCGTGACCACTCCTCCTAAGCTCCATAAAAACACTAACTGCTTCTTGCTTACCACTCTATCCCGAGCATGGAGCACAGGGCCAGGCATGTCGCAAGTGCTCCCTCAGGGAATATTTAACTCCAAAGAAATGCAACACTATCTTCCTTGTTGTTTTCCCTATGCAAATCATGGAATATCACACGCATTCTGTGTTTTTAAAAACCAAAAGGCTTCATAACATTGCATTAAATAGCTGTCCCAAAACTCAGTTAACCATGCCCTGTAGTCCAGCATTTCAGTTATTTCTGTTTTGGTGTTGTATGTAAACAATGCTGCAATGATCTCCTCTGACCCCATTCTCCGACTTTAAAGTCATCCCCAAGCCCCTCCGACACAAATGAACCTCTCTCCACATGACTCTTGGGCACCCCTACTTCTGTTTAGCCCCAACTGCCCACCACTGAAGTGACTTCTTTGGTGGATCACGAACCAGTGACTCACAGAAGCTTACTGTAGAAATCTATCTGTTGCCTAAGCCAAGAGTTGCTTCCGGGGAGGTCTCTGACATTTGAGATATTTTGTGGACTGTGTTGCTTTATTATTTTTTACCAGAGGTTACAATCCAGAGCAATTAGCAGGACCCTCCCAAACGTCCCTGGTTTATGATGCTATTCCGGCCAAGTCCCTCCACCCAACCTCCCACACACACCTCTATTTCGAAATCCCCCGTATCCTCCAGAGAACCCAATTCAAATGCTCCCTCCTCCACGAAGCTTCTCTGGACCCTGGCACCTGGGCCTGCCCTTCACTTGTCACCTTCTACCTTGGACAGTTGCTTATATATGTCTCACCTCCCTTATCAGAACAGAAAGTTCTTAAGGATGAAGACCAAGCCCAATTAGTATCATACATAGCTAGCACAGAATTCGGCATACCAAACTAACCACACTGACCGCGAGTCCATTCCGACTCATAGCGACCCTTCAGGACAGAGTAAAATTGCCCCACTGGGTTTCCTTTCTGTAAAGTTGCAAATCTTTAGAGAAGCAGACTGCCTCATCTTTCTCCCATGGAGCGGCGGGGGGCTTTCAACCACCAACATTTTGGTTAGTAGCCGAGTGCTTCAACCATGGCGCCACCACAGCGCCTTTACTTAGCATAAGCAGTTGCTGAGTGAATACTCGTCTATGTGAATTCATAAACTGTTGGGACGATGCCATTTCTCTGGAAAAATATGACACCCAAAAACCTCATGAAGGAGATCTACTTATCATTCAAGGAATTAATGGAAGTTGAAGTTACGCAATTACGTGAGGCAACACGTACACACTCAAGTCCCAGTCGATATACTGTGATTGCCGTCTATCTCCAGACAGTATAGAGCTTAGGATGCAGACGGACCATACAGCAAAGAGCAGGGTTCAAAGGGGACCACTTGGACGATCTCTCTGTAACAAGAGGAAGACTTCAACTTCTGTATCAAGATTCACAGAAAACTAACTTCTAGTCAAGTCCAATTAATTCTTAGATGGAATTTAAGGATATACTTAATTCAGACCCAGGTTACGTTATTCTGAATGCTATAATAGACCGTGCGAGAAAGGTGAGGCAGTCTGCTTCCATAAAGATTACTGCCTTGGCAACCCTGTCTTATAGGATTGCTATGAGTTGGCATTAACTCGATAGCAGTGGGTTTGGGGTTTTTGTTTTTTTCTTTGGTATGAGAAAATAAGAGATCTTCTCAACAGCCAAGAAAAACGTTAAGTGTGTACTGAGTTGTCTGAGCCCAGATGGGGGACTCCAGACAATGGTTTAGTTTCCTTCCTTTATCATTTCCTCTTGTTCCTCACTGTGGATACTGTTTAAATGTCTCTGTCTCTAATCACACCACACATCTCTTATTAAGGGCAACAGGGAAGACAGTGTGCTGCACTGAGAGCTGCTCCCAGCCGTGTCCAAAAATGGGGGGCCTGGTTTTCCAATTCTCCCCAGTCAACTACAGCTTTAATAAGTGTGTGTGACGTAAGCCTTGCCACGGAGCGCTCCCAGTGTAATTAGGGAGCCAGCACGAGCGTGTAAGAAGCCTTCCAAAAACAAACAACAGACGGCTGTGCCTTGTTTGTTCGTGTTTCCACCAGCAGCCATGCTAAATACTAGCTCCCTCTCCCACTGCCATGCTGCCTGGTCCCAACAAACCTCAAGCCAAAGAATTATACGTTCATTCTTCTCATGACACTAAAAAAGAAAACAGACGGTGACATCATGTGACTCACATCCTCTCATCTTTGTTGTTGTTTTTGTTAGCTGCTGCTAAGTTGATTCCGACTCACGCGACCCCATGTGTTACAGAGGAGAACTGCCCCATAGGGCTTGCTTGGTTACCATCTTTGCGGATACCGATCCTTTCTTTCCCCCAGAGCTGTTGGGTAGGTTCAAACCACCAACTTTTGTTTAGTAGCCTTGCCCCACACAAGATCCTCGTATAATTTACAAGGATGCATTAATGCAAGAAGGCACCCTGGTGGCACAGTGCTTAAAGTGTTTGGCTGCCAACCAGCAGCTGCTCCACCGAGAAAGATGTGGCAGCCTAATGCCCTAAAGATTACAGGCTGGGAAACCCCATGGAGCAGTTCTACTCTGTCCTGAAAGGACACCTTGAGTCGGAATCGACTCAGTAGCAGCAGGTTTTATTAAAAGGGGAGAGTGGAAATAAGCAATAAAATTCTTCCTTGTATATCCCAACAGAGACAGCATTTGGTTATCATCTTACCTGCCATCTACATCCTGATCTACAGCCTGACGGGGTTCAAAGTCAACATCGAAGAAAACAGTCTTAGAAGTAGTGACTCAGGTTTTCATGACTGCTTTGGGCTTTTCCAAGTTACAATCATTTCTGCAGCATTAAGTACTGAAAGAACCCAACTTTGAAGCCATGCTTTTGAGGCAGAAGTTCTGTTATGAATGTAAAATTTTCAGAATTCAGCACTGTTGCAGAATTTAGCTTCTTTCGCTCTTTTTTAAAAATTAATCTACACTCACCTTCCTTTCCCACCTTCCTTTCACATTAGAAACAGCAGCAGAAGGAAGAATGCTAAGTTTTACAAAGGAAAAAAAAAAAGAAAATGCATTTTGTGATTCAGTAACTCCTGTCCAGGTTTAAAACTCACTAAGAGAACTGACCGTTCCAGCCGGGCAGGGAACCTCGGGTCTCACCTCCAGCCCTGGTGGTACAGGGGTCAAGGCAGGGGGATGTGCGTTTCCGGCTTAGTAACCAACACTCATTACAGTTAATTCCCTCCTCAACGAGCCTCAGGCGAGATGCAAGCAAGGGAACGGAAGAGAAAGCGGCAGGTAGGGCGCGTTCTCACCCAGTTTATGAAAGGTGACCTACTCGGAGAACGGGGTCTCTGAACACAGGCGCTTCCGGTAAGAAACAAACCAAATCTACTCCCATCGTCTCCCCTATCCTCTAACTCTTCCCTCTAGATTCCAAAATATTGTGCAAGGGTTGCATTAGAGCAGCAATCAGCAGACTCCCGGCAGAGCTCCGGGGGGAGGCTGAACACACGCTGTGTAGACGGGACAGGAGCGTCCCGCTGCCAGCGCGCTGGATCGGAGCCATTTCCCAGGAGATTCCCTTCCTGGACCCCCCTGACTGCCCCAGCCCCGCGGCCACCGACCGCTGTGCCCTTGGCGAAGTCTCTCGGCCTCTCTGGTTCTCTGGAAAACGGAGGCCCAGATTATCTGCCCCCGGGGCTGCCGTGCGCCCGGCTCACCGCGGCCGTCCCCGCGCACGCCACTCGCGCCAGAGCGCGGCCCGCGGCCAAGGGCTGCAGGTGGCCTCCGCGGCCGCCCTCCCCGGGCCGGGCCTGGAGCGCGGCGGCGGCAGGGCCTCCCTCACGAGCCGGCCTCCCCGGGGAGGCGCGCGGAGTGGGGGCGCTCACAGGGACACTCACCACTACATGAGCCCCGGGCAGCGCGAGGGGCTTGGGACTGATGAGCGGCGACACCATGTACAGCAGGAGCACGAAGGCCACAAGGAAGGCAGCCGCCAGTAGCAGCATCGTGGGGACGGGCCGGAGCAGCGGCCCGGCGCCGCGCAACGCTGGAGCTTGGATCCGCACCGCCCAGTCACGCGCTGTCGGCGGGTAACCGGAACCGGAGTGTTTGGGCTAGCAGCGTAGGGCGGGCGCGGCCTGGGGAAGAGGAGGAGCCGCGGGACGGGGCGGGGCGGGGGCGGGGCGTCAAGGGGGCGGAACCAGCGGCCAGGGGAAGAGGAGGAGCGGCGGGCGGACTCAACACAGAGCTTTCACGGGGCGGGGCAATCCGGTGGGGGAAGAGGAAGAGCTGCGGGGCGGATGGGGGCGGAGCGAGAGGCAGAGGGAAGAGGAGGAGCCGCCGAGCGTCCAGAGGCGGGGCTAGAGGGTAGGGCGGGGCGTCGGGGCGGCCGGGGGCGGGGCGTCGCCGCCTTCTCTTTCTCCTGGGGGTCATCCTTGTGTCTTCTAAACTAAGTCCAGGCCGGCAGCCTCCCTTCCGGAAAGGGGTCTTCGCCGGCGATCGCAGGGAGCCACTCCTAGAGTAACCAGCTGCTCGTGTGTGGTTGCTGCTTGAGAGTCCGAGAGCGGCTTTCCAGCTCCTCAGACCCGCCGGCCGGGAGGTAAACACCACCCCTCCTGAAGGTGGGTCCCCTCGGTGCCAGCAGAAAAGGGAGGAATAAGAGTCTTACAAGGAGTGGCTTTAGGATGTTTGGGCCTGGTTACAATGTGGAGACCGTGAGGTTAAGCTCCGAGATTCCGGATACGATTTCGTGTTTTCTTAGCACACCTAGAAACTGGTCACAGCCCACTTTCACTTTTCAGAGGACAGGTGGCTAGAACATGAAGTTTGAAAGATCACTCCTAATTCAACAGTTTCGCTGAGCTCGGAGAGTAGCATCTTTCCTAAAGCAGGTAAGTTTTTAACAGCTTTGAGATGTAATTCACATACCATACAATTCACCCACTTAAAGTGTACAATTAACTTTTTGTATAGTCAGATTCGTGCCACAATTTTAGAACATTTTAGTCACTCCAAAATAGGTATCCATTAGCAGTCAAGCCCCATTTCCTCCTAACCCACCCCCTCCCCACACCTTTGTTGGTTGATGGTCTCCAGTTGGCTCCTAAAGGGGACATTACATGACAAAAAACATTACCTGGTCCTGCACCATCCTGACTGTTGCTGTTTAGTCCCTTGCTGCGATTGTGTTCATCCATCTCACTGAGGGTTACCTTTGTTTTCCCTGACCCCTTTATCAGAAGTTCAGGTGAGGCAGTGGTTAAGGTATTTGCCTGCTCTGAAGGGTTGGTGATTTGAACCCACCAGCTTCTCTGCAGAAGAAAGATGAAGCAGGCTGCTTCTGTAAAGATTTACAGCCTTGGAAACCCAGTGGGGGTTGCTAGGAGTCAGAAGGGACGTGATGGCAGTGAGTTGGGTTTTTTGGTTACTTTCTGGTGGTGCAGTGCCTAATGAATTGGCCTGCTATCCAGGAGGCTGGTGGTTCAGACCTGCCAGCTGCTGCACGGAAGGAAGATGGTGCACTCTACTCCTGTAAATATTTACTGCTTTGAAAACCCAGTGGGGGGGTGTGTGTGGCTGAGTCAGCATTGACTCAATGGCAGTGAGTTTGGTTTTCTTTTTTTTACCAAGCCCTAGGCAAACTCTAACCTATTTTTTGTCTATGTATTTATTCCAGACTTTTCATATAAATGGAATCATACAATATGCGGCCATTAGTATCTGACTTCTTTCACTATGCATGTGTTCAAGATTCATCCAAATTGTAGCATGCAGCCATACTTCATTTATTGTCAAATAATATCCCATTGTATGGACATGCATTTTCTTTTTCCACTCATCATTTCATGAAAATGTAGGTAGTTTGTTTCCACTTTTGGGCAATTATGAATAATGCTGCTATGAACATTCATGTACCACTTTTGATGTGGACATGCTTTCTCTTGGGTACATTCCTAGGAATGGAATTGATGGGTCATATGATTATATCCACCAGGGCAGATGGCCAGAACAGGTAAGGGAGGACGGCCCCAGGCAGGAAGTGGCAGCCAGGGCGGATGGCAGGAACAGGTAAGGGGAGAGCCCTAGGCAGGAAGCAGCAGCCAGTGGATGGCCAGAATAGGTAGGGGGAAGGCCAGGAAGTAAGGGGAGCAGTTTGGAATGACTAAGGGAGACGAACTTGTCTGTCAGTTTGCGTGCTGCGGTGGTTGCACGTTGCTGTGAGGCTGGAGGCTGTGCCACTGGTGTTTTGAATGCCAGCAGGGTTGCCCATAGTGGATGGGTTTCAGCAGAGCTTCTGGACTGAGACAGGCTGAGACGAAGGAAGAGGCCATCCACTTCTCAAAGAATTGGCCAGTGAAAACCTTATTAATAGCAGTGAAACACTGTCTGATGTATTACTGGACAACTTGATGAATAGCCCTGAAACACTGCCAGATACAGTGCCAAGAGATAAGCCTCTCTGGTTGGAAGGCACTAAAAATACAACTGGGAACGAACTGCTTCATTAGAGTACAGCCAACCTTAATGATATGGATAAAGGAGTGCTTTTGGGACCTCCGTTTGTTGATATGGCAAGACTCAAAATGAGAAGAAACAGCTGCAAATATCCACTAATAATCAGCGCATGGAATGTATAAAATATGAATCTAGGAAAATTAGAAGTTGTAAAAAAATGAAATGGAATGCATAAAGCTTGATATCCTAGGAATTAGTGAGCTGAAATGGACCAGTTTTGGCCATTTTGAATCAGCCAGCCATATGATCTACACTGCCAGGAATGACAAATTGAAGAGGAACGGTGTGGCATTCATCATCACAAAGAATGTTTCAAGATTATCCTATCAGTGATAGGATAATATCTGTACACCTACAAGGATGGCCAGTTAATACTACTATTATTCAAATTTACACACCAACCACCAAAGCCAAAGATGAGGAAAATGAACATTTTTACCAACTTCTGCAATCTGAAATTGACTGAATATGCAGTCAAGATGTGCTGATATCACTGGTGATTGGAATGCAAAAGATGGAAACAAAGAGGAATCGCCAGTAGTTGGAAAATTTGGCTTTGGTGATGGAAATAATGTTGGAGATTGCATTATAGAATTTTGCAAGACCAATGACTTATTTGTTCCAAATACCTTTTTTCAACAACACAAATGGCAGTTATACATGTGGACTTCACCAGACGGAGTACACAGGAATCAGACTGACTACATCTGTGGCAAGAGGTGATAGAAAAGCTCAAAATCTTCAGCTAAAACAAGTCCAGGAGCTGATTGTGGAACAGACCATCAACTGTTCATATCCAAGTTCAAGTTGAAGACAATTAAAACAAGTCCATGAGAGCAAAATATGACCTTGAATATATCCCTTCTAAATTTAGAGATCATCTAAAGAATAGATCTGATGCAGTGAACACTAATGAAGGAAAACCAGAGGAACTGTGGGATGACATCAAGAACATTATCCATGAAGAAAACAAAAGGTCATTAAAAAGACAAGAAGGGAAGAAAAGACCAAAATGGATGTCAGAAAAGACTCTGAAACTTGCCCTTGAACAAAGAGTTGTTGTTATTTGCCATCGAGTCAGACCTGACTCATAGCGACCCCTCCTTGGGCTTCTAAGGCAGTATCACTATGGAAGTAGATTGTCCAACCTTCCTTCCAAGAAGTAGCTGGGAGGTTTGAACCATCAGCCTTCTGGTTAGCTGTCAAATGCCTTAGGCATATGCTACCAGAGCTCCTTTAACAAACAGTAGCTAGAGCAAATGGAAGTAATGACAAGATAAAAGAGATGAACAGAAGATTTCAAAGAGTAGCTTGAGAAGACAAAGTCAGTCATTATAATGAAATGTATGAAAACATGGAGTTGGAAAGCCAAAAGGGAAGAACTTGCTTGGCATTTCTCAAGTTGAAAGAACTGAAGAAAAAATTTAAGCCTCAAGTTGCGATACTGAATATGGACAATATATTGAATAATGCAGGAAACATCAAAAGAAGATGGAAGGAATACAGAGTCACTGTACCAAAAAGAACTGGCCTATGTTCATCCATTTCAGGAGGTGGCTTATGATCAAGAACCAGTGGTACTGAAGGAAAACGTCGAAGCTGCACTGAAGGAAGTGGTGAAAAACAGAGCTCCAGGAACTGACAGAGTACCCATTCACATGTTTCAACAGACAGATGCCATGCTGGAGGCACTCACTCAGCTATGCCAAGAGATGTGGAAGGCAGCTACCTGGCCAACTGATTGGAAGAGATCCATATTTGCACCCATTCCAAAGAAAGGTGATCCCACAAAATGTGGAAATTATCGAACAATATCATTAATAATGCATGCAAGTAAAATCTTATTGAAGATTAATTCAAAAACGGTTACAGCAATATATTGACAGAGACTTCCAGAAGTGCAAGCTGGATTCAGAAGATGATGTGGAACAAGGGATATCATTGCTGATTTCAGACGGATCTTGGTTCACAGCAAAGAATACCAGAAAGATGTTTACTTCTGTTTTATTGA